TGAGAATAATACCTACATTGTATTAATAACTGTTTTATAATACACTGATATACTGAGTTTAATCAAAATCGTTAGAGCCGTTTTTGATAAAATCATAAAAATGTATTAAATCGATTATATAAAGTACCTTGAATATGATTATATACTTCATGGAAACAGAGCACCGTGGCACTTCGTCTGATGACACGCCAATTGAAAATAGGTATAAAATCTGTAGAGGAATTTAAATACCTAGGAGCAATATTTAATGGAGAAGGTACATCCACCAATGATATCAACAGAAGAATTGGTGAAGTGAGAACAGTCACAGCACTACTCAACAGTATCCTTTGGAGTTTTAATATACAGCTAAGTATAAAGAGGCTAATATACAAGGCTATATTCTAACCAATTACGACATATGTCTCGGAGACTTGGTTCATCAATGCAAGACACCGAAACAGACTGTTAGCAGTAGAGATGGACTTTTGGAGAAGAGCAGCAAGAAAATCCAGAAGGGAAAGGATCAAAAATGATAAAATTTTGGAAATGATGGAGATAGAAAAAAAACATTTTAGAAATTATTGAAAAGAAAAGGTTTTGTTGGTTTGGACATGTGAAAAGAATGATGCCTGAAAGGTTGCCAAAGACGTGTATGGAGCTGGAAGTAGAAGGGAAAATGAAAAAGGGAAGACCAAGGGCAAAATGGAAAGACGTGGAGGAAGAAATCCTGGCAGGTTATGGCATCATTGAAGAACAAGACTTGGATAGAGAAGAATGGAAAAATATCTTAAAGAATATTTAGGTCAAGGACAACCACAGTAGTAGAAAAGTCCTTCCGAAAAGTCAGTGGAAAAAATATATATATATACTACAGTGATTGTCCTTGTCCTAAATATTCTTTAAGATATTTTTCCCTTCTTATATATACAGAGTGGGGTAGCTCAGTGGTAGGATACTAAGCTTCCAGGCAAAGGTCCCAGGTTCGAACCCCGGCTCATGGCAGAAAATTTATTTATCTGGTTCATTAGCTGTGGAGTGACCCTGGGTTGGGTGACCTTGGGTCAGGAGACCCTCCTGGGACACACCCAGCCTCTATAAAGTGGGTACCCTTAATTAAATAATTAATTAAGGGGGAAAACCTGGTGATTGAGCGTGATCTCGGTCAAACCACCTCTTTGTACAACCATTGACCTAGAAACAGTGCTTTCCCTAAATAGTACTGAACCCAAGACCCTTCATGGGTTGTAATGGTACAGGTTTATATATATATATATATATATATATATATATATATATATATATATATATATATATATATATATTGTAACATCCCTCTTATATTTTACAAATAATAATAATAATATAACCTCGGAAGTAGAGATACTTCTAAAATAAATAAGAAGTTTTTTTTTGTTTTTTTTTTCTCCTACCCCCCAGGAATTTCTTGATTACAGAATACAATATATATATATATATAAATGTATATATTCATAAATTTACAATTTCCTTTTATTGCCCAAGGGCATTTTAAGGTAAGAGGGCTATGCACGCTGTATGCGTTCTTTGCATCTGTGGCCAGAGGCCTTTTATTATACCACTGGGAATGGAGGGACCGCCCTGTAAGAGGTTGTTAAATAAAAACAAAATTATAAAAGTATTATTATATTTATTTATCTCGGTTGTGGGTTGCTGACAATCAGATCAACTCAGACAAACTATTATTATTTACACTATTTATATTAAAATTAAACATTGATTGTAAAATAAAGTCAGGTATGAATTGACAAGCTAAACTTTGTTGTACATACAATGTTTCTTCCTTTGTCTTCACACAATTTCTTATGTTCTGCCAAACACATATCCCAAAATGGTAACACTATTCTTCCACTCAACTCAAGCTCTCTGGGAAATCCTATCTCTTGCAATTCCAAACAACTATTCTCCCTACCAAACAAGATCTTCTAAGATGGTAAAAATTTACTGGGTTTTACCCACAGGAGCCAGGATAGGATATCTTCTCTTAACCTCTCTTCACTGCAATCACACAACAACTGTTTGCCAAAACCAAAAGCTTTTTTCCTCTCCTCTTTGGGATTTTCCATCTTGGGGAAACTACAAAGCAGCCATTTTCTTTTCTCTGCACTAGTAGAACTACATTAACTTGCCTTTTAATTGTTCAATATTCATTTATTAAACGCTTTTTACTCACTTTCAATAAAGGTGTACATTACAAAATATATATATATATATATATATAAAGTACCACTTCCGGTTTGCAATTTTGACGAAAATGTTGCAGTAACATCTAAGGATTATAAAAACTTCAAATAGGCAATTATAGTATCATAGGGCTTTTTGTTTTTGATCGAGGCTGTTCGCATACATACACACACACCATTTTGCCGGACTTGGTATTTGGACTCAGGGGACCTAGAAACGTCTATTTCCGTTGAAAACTCAGATTTGAAAATTTTTATGATTGCAAAACCTACTCTTACTATTTATTACATATCTGCATTATAGGTAAGTAAAAGTAACAATTGAAACTCAAAAGGTGAGATACAATCTTTTAAAATGTATTACATGTTAATGGTCAGTGAATAATTAAATTTTATTATTTTCATTAGTTTTATAATCCTGTATATTGTCAGTTTTTCAAAAAGTCACTAAATGCATTCCTGATATAGATTAACTTTAAAATATTTTCTCTGTATGATATTGGTATAGACTTGGAAAATAATAAATTTTACTGGAATCTTCAACTTGTTTTTGAATTTCCATGATTTTTTACAGATCCAAAACGTCTCATAAATTTAAAATCTGATTTTGAGTTAACTAACATGATCCAGCCCTTTTTTATACCAGTCCAATAAATGTCAATGAGTACAATCTTGATTAGAATTATTTTATTATAATCTAACCTTGTTGAATAAGTAAAAAGAAATTTTCCTGTAGGTAGATCATATATACCAATATATATATATACCAAAGGAAAAGAGGGACCAAGGTGAAGAAGCTATCTCCTCCTTCAACATAAAAAAATAAAATAGTATTGATTGACAGCAAATGGTTAATTGTTGGTATTTCAACATTTGGAGAGAAACAGATCATGAAAAGACACTTTATACTTGAAAAAAATTAATTTAAAAAATGTCCACTTCTTTTAGGGCACATTTTTTTGACCTGGCTACACCCTTGAAGCATTTAATTACATTAAGTAAACTTCAAGTTACTTCAAAATAAAAATAATTATAAATTGTGGATCTTCACTGATAGACTTTCTTGATAATTATATACTGTAAATTCAAAGCAAAATACATGTTTCTCTATACCACAGGGTGGGTAACACTTAAAAGGGTTTAAGAGACATGAGGGATTTATTCTTTAGTTTTCTTGTAGGAGCTTGAATTTTCAAATTTATCCCCTGCTCTGAAAGTGTATATATATTTATAATTTGTACTGTGTTTATCATATTTTATGCCCTTATATTTAAAAATGATAATTAGAGCATATGAAGTATAAGTATAAGTAAGTATAAGTATAAGTATATGTAAATTTTATGAAAATAAAATTCCCACATGTATGTATAAATGAATTTATATTTCATAACATTTAGAATACCAACTGAACTTCAAAAGCGAATTCAGTAGAAAAAAAGAATGCTACATTTTTTTCTCATTCAACATTTTTTCATCCACGAGATATTTTTGACAGACTGTCTTTATTAAAAATAAATAAATTGTCTGTTGCTTTATTATTTAGCATATAAAAAACATTTTTGTATTTCATTTTCATAAATAGGGAGAATAATTGAGCTGTTTATATTGTAATTAGTTGACACATTCGAATTGGCAGTTCAAATTCATTTTTCTAAATCAAAGTTTGCTTTTGAAAAAATGAATTATCTGATGAATAAATTAATGAATATTAATAGGCTAAAACTGAAAAAAAAAATATCTGTTAGTCTTATTTTCTTCATGTTGTGGCATATGATCTTTTTCAACACTATTTATAAACGTTCAGGTAACTGTAGCTATAAAAAATGTCATATACCCCAAAGAGAAAAAAATAGAATAACAGATAAGAATTCAGATAATAAACTTCATTAAAAAGTACAATTGTTAACTAATTAGCTAGTGAAAATAATGAATGTATTACAATCACTGATATTAGTTTAAGGATTTTTTTTATTTTTAGGTTTAAACTTGTACTTAGCTATTGTTACTTAAATAATTTAATAAAAAATAAACATGAAATATAAATAATGATAAAGTTGAAATTATTCTTTCATTGATTACACAATTTGCCTTTGTCCTCTTTTTAGAAAAGAATAATAAAAAATCAATGAATGTGTCCTTTGATTGATCATAATTAATCATGATAATTACATAATTACATCCATTTATGCCAGAAAGTTTCTACCCAATCAAGTCAGGTATTAATTTTTCCAAAGTAGAGTCATTAGTTCTAAGACCTATTATAAAGCCTATAATTTCTTGCTCATCAGTTCTGAAAGGGTTCGGTTCTCAGTCACTGAGCGTCATACAGCAGAATCTATTTTGTAGGAGTCAGGTTCGGATAAACCCAAATTATTAGCCATGGTTAAAATAATTAAGGAACTCCTTGGAAATCTGCCTAGGATTTTATTAAAGACATTTGTGATATCGAGAGATTCAAACAAGAGGTTTCGTCAAACCTGTGTCACTGTCAGTAATGCAATAATGACGTTAGTCTGTATCAGTTCTATGTATTTTTTAGGATTAGAGAAAAGTTTAGAAGGGACTGCTAGTTTTTCCGCCTATGCATTTATAATAACTACCAAGCATTTCATATATTATTTCAGACAAGAAAAAATTAAACAAATGTTGGATATGTTTGCTCAATTACAAAAAAAACATAAAGAAAAGTGGGAAAGAGAAATCTTTAAGAAAGGTTCTGAAGATGCTTGGAATATGGTTTATAAATTCTGCTTGATAATGATATCTTACCAAGTATTTTATCTCATCTTCACGATATTGGTCGATTATATAATTGGAAATATTTTTTCCGATTTCCCTTCAGTCAGAGTTCATTTACCATGTGATGGATACATAGAGTTTTTTGAACCACGGACATTACAAAGGTTTATTATAACTATTCCAGTTTTGATGTGGACAGCAGAAGCAATTACTATTCATATCGGATCGGAGACATTGGTATTTATTTTGATGATGTATACAAAATTAGAACTGAAAATGATAAATTATAGACTTATAATTATTAAAAATAATCTCAATGGAAAAGAGAGTAATCATCAGATTAATACTGAGAAGTTACTATGGGAAGTAATACAGCGTCATCAAAGAACTTTAGAGTAGTTATGATTTATATTAATTAATTTTATATATTTCTTATACTGGATGATTTTTAAAAGTTTATATTATTCCAGAGTTTTAAATGTTATGAAAGATACCCTAGGCCTTCCTCTGGCAATTCATTATACTTCTGTTTCTCTGACCTTAAGTGTTATTTTTTATTGTCTTATGACATTTGTGAGTATTTTTCAATGAATTTATTATTAGTTTCAAATTTAATGAATTTGTAATTTTACAAATGATAATTTTCAGGATGAAAGAGGAAGTTTAACTGCAAAATTCAATGGAGTAACTGCAATAATTTGTATTGGTTCTCTTTTGTTTGCTTTGTGCTATTTTGGAGAATCATTAGAAGAAGAGGTAATTCTATTCAAATGGTAAAATTAAGTAATATAGTACATGTTTTCGTAAATTGTATTCAAAATCTAAAATAAAAGTCTACAATATTTATAATTTATATTTTTAGAATAGAAGAAATAGGTTCGTGACCACATAGCTACAAAGTGGTGGGACAACATTATTGAGAGACCAATATTATCCCAAATTAAAAAAAAAATCTGGTGTGTCCACTCACACAACTTTCCTACCTATTTCAGAAAAGTTTTTATATCTTTATATATGTCCATCAAGAAACAAAAAAATATTGAATTAGATTTATTATCCTGAAAATTGATGAAAGAAAAGATTTGAGTACGATTTATTTGATAAACTAAAGCAATGTAAACCGGCTTAAGGCTTAAGGTAGATCAGTGTAAAAATTTCAATATCCTCTAATATTGCTGATCAAAAATTTTTTGCCATAGCCTAATTTTGCCAAATAATAATTTCTGTTAAAAGTAGAAGAAATGTTTAAAAGTTAGGAAAAAAAACAACAGATGTTCTTACTTTCACTCAGTTATATTTTTTCTCTCATTCACCACTTTCTGACAACAGGATATGAACCAGTAATCTTACATTGGAAATTAAATAGCTGTAACCTCGTTAGTAGTTGTCAGGAGGCTATGAAACGTTTAGATCTGTCGAATTTGGCCATCACAATGCATTCCTTACCCAGTATAGGTAGGAAAGGAATAAATTAAAATAGAAAATAGAATATGGTGTATCATCCCTAATACTGATTTGATTCCAATGATCTTTTTTTATTTTGTTGGTAATTTAATTATCATTCAAAAGTTTTATAACAAATTTGAAAACTTCAATGAAAGTTTCACAAATAATTAGAGCCGGTTTTGCGCCACAGTCTATAGAGGAACTTGTTTTTTATTTATTGCACAGCAGCTATTGCGCATGGAGCATCCAATTTGTGTCACTGGAATTAGTAGTCAAAACCCTACAAAATAAAAAAAGAAGCAACAAAATCTGTTCACTATTTTCCGAGAAAATCTTGGCACAGACATACAGACAGACCAATTGCTAAAAATGTGTTTTTCGAACTCAGGAGACTCTGAAAAGTATAAATCCATCAAAAACCGCATATCGGAAATTTGACCCGATTGCAATACTTTCCTTACCAAGTATAGGTACTGGTACTGGTACTGGGTGGGGGAAACTAATACGGCAAGTGGGCCTGTAGTGGTCCTTTTTGATAATCTGTGACGGCTACCATTAAGGTTGCCACCCCGTACTTGCCAGAGTGGGAATGCCACGATCCATTTCCTGGGGCTGCCGAGAAATGAAAAGTAACCGACCCAGGTGGGAATCAAACCCACAACGTTCAGAACCGGGTACTCTGGGACCCACGCCCCAACATGCTCGGCCATCCTCTTCTACCTAGTATAGGTAGGAAAGTAAAAATATATACCAACTTTATTGTTTATGCTGTTTAATTCCAATTATAAGTAACATTAAATTTATTTCAATTTAGGGAATGTTTAATAGATGTGAACAAACTGTTTCTTGGTAATTAATTTGATCTTGTTTAACATCAAAATGTAAAAGAAAAAACATCTCAACAAATAACGTTTATACATGAATCTTTTTTTTCTCTACAATAGCTGTTACTTTAAATTAAAATTGTAAGTTAAAAAATAATATAATCTATTTTAATCCCTGGTCGGAAGTTATGCTTAAATGTAACTTCCATTTCCATGTATTTTTGTTTTTAATACAGAAACGACTGGACTGCTAAAATGTCAAATGATTGAAAAATTATGCTATGGTTTCAGTTTTTTTTTTCTATACACTCAACATAATGAGTCTGGAAATCCTAGTTACATCCATTCCACTTTTAGATTCATTGAAACCTCTAGTTACAAAGAGAGAGAGAGAGAGAGAGAGAGTACTGACCACTTGTAGAAATTATGATCAGCTTTTCATTTCATTTCTTTAGGATTATTTCTTCATTAATTTATTAGACTTATTTCTCCAAAACGCATTTGAAATTATATTTAGTTTTTAAATAGTACAGTTTCACTTATGTATATCATGCATCGGATATATCGGATAATGGTAGAAAATAACGATATTATCCTCATTTATCTGAACTCTTAAAAGTTTGATAAATTCTTATGTTTTAGAATGCTGAAATAAATAAGAGGATATACGATTTACCATGGTATAATGAAACCATATGTGTTAAAAGAACAGTCATTATTATGTTAAGACAAACACAAAAACCATTTGTAATTAATTATCGCCTGACAGCTCAAATAAGCTTGAAAACATTCATGCAAGTAAGTTATAAAAAAAGTGGTTTGATCTTTAGAAAATTGAAACAATTTTTTATGTCTTTTTGATTACCAAATCAAACCTTAAAAAATAAATTGCATAATTTAATCAAGGGTAAGTTTAATCAAGAAAATAGAGTAAAACTTCTTTTTATATGGGCCAACGTTTTGGCTTTAAGTTATAAGATTACAATTGTGACAATTACACATTTCAGGTGTTTCTTACTTGACTGCACCAAGTTTTTGATTACATTTAGGGCCAACAAAATCTTCACCATTACTTCATGCTTCAAATTTAAAAGTCAGCCATTTCTTAAATCATTGCATTGTATTCTCATAGTTCCATTTAATATGTATTTATCTGGAAATATATACAACATTAAAATAAACAAATGAAAAATTGCAGCTTTAATGTATAGATGTGAAAACTTTTTGAAAGAGCGTAAATTATTTATTTAGTTTTGTAAAAAATTTTAAATTTGTTGAATTTGATATTTCAATTTTTGTCAATTTGATTAATTAATTTTTATTATATTCTTTAATGAATGAATGAAATGCAGAAACAAATCAATAAATGCTAGCTTTGTACTCCATTCTCGAGTAAATTTTATTCGCTATACTTGGATATTCTTTAATAACTCTTTTATTGATTATTTGTTTTAATAAGAAAATATTCCCTTAATGATTAATCGTATAATCAACTTATGAATAAAGAGTTAATTAATACCTTTAGCCTGTCATCAGCTTAAATCTGAGTTTTATTGATTATTTACTTTAAAGTTCATTTTTATCTATTTATATAACTACTTCAAGGGAAAGAATTTAACATACCGATAGTTTTTTTACTATTATTTCTTCTTTTATCAACCTAGTGATTTTGCTTCTTACTTGTTTAGCTAAGTTGTACAATATAGTAAAATTTCTATCAGATCACTCATTGCTCCATTTTCTGACTTATTTTCCATTACTTGATATACTAAATTTATTTCTAACTTCGAAATGTGAAACAATAAGTAGGTTTACCTCTATTCCCTAATTCTAATTTGGGACCTTCCTTCGACTCTGTTCATAATTTTCTGTAACAATGAAATTTTGACACAATCCTACCATTAAATGTGTAGAAAAATCAAGTAAGTAAATGTATGAGGACATAGTCTGATTCAAACCTTAAAGAGGTGAAGAAAAGAATTTAAGTTTTGGAGAATCAATATATTTTACGTAATTAGTTTCTTTGAAAATGTTGAAATACTAACAAGCAGCCTGTCACTTTCAATCAATTTTCCAGAAGCTTAAATTTGTTGTTTATATTATTTGTTATTTTATTAAAATTATTTGACATCAGAAGAGAAGAGGCAACTGCATTATCTGGATACATGATCTTGTAAGAGAATAAATCTGTTCATTAATGGACTATTTTCTTTTACTATGAGAATAATTTTTGTTAGGCCAAGGAGACAGTCCAGCCTTCAGGAGACATTAGGTTTGTTTTAGTAACTTACATTGAGAAGTAATTTGATATAATATATTACTATATGAACTAATAATTCTTAGTTTAATCCTAAACGATAATTCAGCTATCATCCGATTTTTTCGCATTTTATACCTAACTGGAATTAAGTTTATGTTGAACACATGTTATATACAATGGTAGTGTTATTATATACAATTGTAACTTACTAATATTTATTCTCTCTGCATAGAACTAATTGAATCTTGAATGCACATTCGATTTCGTATACATACAATTTCTATTTTAATCTTTAATGATGAAGTTGGAAATAAATTTAGTATATCAAGTAACTTTGGACCATAGAAGGGCGAAAATTATGCTGAGCAACAAAGTTAAATTTTAATTTAATTCAAATCCTGGCCCTTCTGAGTTCTGAGGTATTTAATCGCTATTGCAGTTGACCGTCAATCATTAACTGAATTATTAATTAAATCCTTGGGTTAAAACTAGCTCCTCTGTTGAAAACTTTATTATTATTGACCAAACCCTGTCCTGAGAACCCGATATCAGTTAAATTTCTAAATGGTCGATACATATCCTTGATTTATTACATCGTTCACTACATCGTCGACAACCTACAAGTGTGTTCTTTTATCCTATATCATTCCTTCCACTTTGACTACAATGTCGTAAACGGTGGCCTATCACTTGTATTCGAGGTCAGATTGAAGTAAATCATAACCTACCACAGCTTCATATTAGTGGCTCTTCTCATAAATCAGTTGACTAAATTTCTTCAAATCTAATCTTTACCAAAGCATAAACTGCCAACACGCTTCCTGTCACTCAGTCCTCTCAGTGAACTATGTTCCACTCCCACAGTACTAAAATATTCCTTTCTTGCTGCTCTAATAACTTCTAAAATTCTTAATAAATATCCGCCATTTTCTGTCAATCCTCATTCACATCCCTCCCTTCGGAACATCTCACATTCCGAATAGTCGTCCGTCAGATAATTTCAATTTCCGTTTTAACAATATCAGAATAATTGGTTTCAATGCTAAGATTTTAATCTTCGATTTCGATCAAACTTTTTTGTGCGATTCTTTATTAAAAATAAATTAACATTTGAACAGCCGTTTCATTCAAAGTAGGAAATAAAAGTTAAAAAAATAATTGTTCGTCAAATTAATGTTTTGAATGTCTAAATTGTAAGGTACAGTAGGCTAATAGATTTTTCACAAAAAATTGACAGATTTTAATTCAGTAACAAAAAAACTTGTTTCAAATATTGTAAAAAAAAAAAAAAAAAATTTAACTTTCTGATGGAGTTTGAAAATTATAAGCTGGAAATTTACGTTTAGGTTTGAAGTTTTGTAACTTGTCTTCAGTTTTATCAATTTCGACATACTTGGACTCGTTAAAAATAGAAACGTTTATTCTTTTTACAAATGTAAACATCTATTGCATTATCTTAGAAGATCTGTGGGAAAACAAAACAACAAATAATGTTTTTGCCATTAAAAAATGGCGCTAAAACAAGGGAGAATACCACTGTTAAAGGAAATAGCGTGGTTTCAGAACTATTATCAGCCCTACAAAATTAGTTTGAATTAGTTAAAGTGCTATGGGAGATTTTTAATTCTTAAATAAAATGTTTACGAAATTTTTAGTCAAAATTAGAATTAAAAACAATTTTTTTTTTGATTCGCCCAAAAAATTTGAACATAGGAGTTTTAGTTAAGTAATAGGAATAAATCTGACGTCAACTTTTTAATACAAAAATCTTTTTGATCTACTTTATTTTCTTGAAAAATTCTGTTTTCATAGACCTCTCATAAAGCTTAAATTTTATTAATTCCGTTTCAAAAAATCTGTCTCTCCAATATTCACTATTTACTGAACACAAATATGGTTTTTATTTCACTTATAACAACTTCATCAGGTTTTTTTTATTTTTATTATTTTTTTTCTTTGATCCAGGATTTAATTTTTTTTTTAGGGAGCTTCAGCTTTATATATATATATATATATATATATATATATATATATATATATATATATATATATATATATATATCCATATATAATTATAATAATAATAAAACAATTATTACTTTGGAAAAAGGAGAAAGATTCTGTTCGCCTCCCGGTACTAAAGGGTTCTTTTTACTCTAGAATTAATCCCCCGGCCTTATTCCCTGGCCCGGGAAAATTCCCCTACAGCCTAAAAGGCGAGGAAGAGGACGAAACAAATTAAAAAATAAGGAAGATTCTACCTATATGAAATGATACATAAACGATTCTTGAAGTCCTAATAAATGTAATTACACGAACAATGTTTCAATACTTTTTTTGTGACATGGTTATATTTTACCATTTTGGGAGGACTTTAGGCCTCTCAAAAGCCTCTCTCCCCCCTGTAGATGCGACTGTGCTTAGCCATATAGATATATATTACGAATGTAATATGAAAACATTTATGATTAACAAATAGTGGTTTCTTTCTGTATAGCTTGATCCACCCCGCTCAGTCCAGAGCCACCTCCCTGCTTCTCCTATCCATATTCCTGGCCGCCAACGTCTCCCTTACACCTTCTGCCCAGGTTTTCCTATGACGTCCTGGACTCCTTTTTCCATTCATTGTCTAATCATAGGTTAGCCAGGCTATTCTCTAACCTGGCATCCGTGAGACATGTTCAAACCATCGCAGATGATTTTCCTCCAACGTTTCATATAGTGATTTTAAACCGAAATAATTTCTTATCGCGGTATTTCTCACCCTATGGATTATATATATGAAAGTAAAATACAAATTTATTGGTTCACAGTTTCTTCAAACTGAAACATCCCAATTTTATTTAAGATTCGAGAAACCGCTAGTAGTCGATAAATATATATATTTTTTCTTTAATAGCTTAACATATTTGAATAAATAATTTTATGCCATGAGCCGGGATTCGAAGCTGGGACCTTTAACATTGGAAGCTTACTTACTATTTTTCATTTATATTTACCTATTTTTATCGTATTGTTGTGCTTGTTCACGTATTTCATTCTTTAATGTTTACTTTATATATAATCTCTTTAAAATTGTAAGCTAACTTAATTTAAGTTAGGTGATTTCTTTTGTTTTGTTTTTTTATTTATTCTATTTTTTTATCAAACAATTCTCATACAAATTCAAGTTGTATACAATAATTTAATTGTTCTCAATACTTGCAAGCATTTAACTTTATAACGTATACGTATATATTATTAAAAAAAATCTTATTTCATGTAAACAAGTATTGTAGCTTTAGTTCTATTTATTTTCATTTTCCTTTTATTTTATGTTGGGTTCTTGAATTTTTGTAGAAAATAAAAACATAGCATAGATAAAATGTAAGCATAACATTCATACATATGCAAATTTGCATGGTGTATGTAAACTTTTGCAAATTAACTCCTCCTGGATACTATGCTAGGGTTACTATGCAAGAGAAAAAAAATAAAACAAAAAACATATTTGAACCCTATCAGAAACTGAAAATAAAAATATTTTTTGTTTTCGATATTTCCATAACAAAGCTTTTTTTTTATGTGCTGAACCACAATCTAATATCATTTTCAAATGAAA